TTCTTTCTTTCTTTCTTTCTTTCTTTCTTTCTTTCTTTCTTCTTTCCTTCTCTCCTTCCTTCTTCCTATCTTTTCCTTCCTATCCACATTCGTATCTTCCTCCCTCCCTCCCTAAAGAAGCTCATAAGATAAATAGGACAGAAGTTAACATGTTGATGCCCAATATCTGTCTTTGTGTGTTTTCCTTCCTTCCTTCCTGACTCTTTCTTTCTCTCTCCTTCCTTCCCTCCCTCCTTCCTTCTTTCTTTCCTTTCTTCCCTTCCTTCTTCCCTTCCTTCCCTCCTTCCCTTCTTCCTTCCCTTCTTCCTTCCCTTCCTCCTTCCTTCCTCAGATATTGTAAAGACATTTCTGTTTTCTTTCTGATCTCTGATAGTGAGCTTTTTTACTTTTCATTTTTCTTCTGATGTTCTTCTTGAAAATGCCTATTCACGTTTTCCAGATCTGGGCAGGTCTTATATAACTGTCCTCTACTTTTCATTCTACTGATAGAATATTTATAGCTCAGGGTTGAACTTGTGAGGTCCCTAGGTGCTATCTGAGCTTGGTTTCCTTGCAGACATTAGCCAATTAGATAACATCATCAGTGCTAGGTCTGATGATGTTCAATGCTAGCACTGATGATGCCACCTAGTTGGATAATGAAATGTCTGCAAGAAAGCCACCAAGCTTAGAGAGCACCAAGGACCTCACTTTTCATTCTTTATTAATTCTTTTAAGAAATTTTCATCCCATGTTGTCATATGTAACCATTTTCCTCACATTAACACTACTAGTTAGGTTGAAAGGAAGGAACTAATCCAATCAAAGCCATCCTCTATGCATCCTAATTTCTGTCTGGGATTAACTGCAGATGTGTGTATTGTGTACTGTACTATGTGCGTTATGTATAGTATACTGAACTGTACTGGAACTACACTGCTCAAAAAAAATAAAAGGAACACTTAAACAACACAATGTAACTCCAAGTCAATCACACTTCTGTGAAATCAAACTGTCCACTTAGGTAGCAACACTGATTGACAATCCATTTCACATGCTTTTGTGCAAATGGAATAGACAAGAGGTAGAAAGCATAGGCAGTTAGCAAGACATCCCCAATAAAGGAGTGGTTCTGCAGGTGGTAACCACAGACTACTTTTCAGTTCCTATGCTTTCTGGCTGATGGTTTGGTCACTTTTGAATGCTGGCAGTGCTTTCACTCTAGTGGTAGCATGAGACGGAGTCTACAACCCACACAAGTGGCTTAGGTAGTGCAGCTCATCCAGGATGGTACATCAATGCGAGCTGTGGCAAGAAGGTTTGCTGTGTCTGTCAGCGTAGTGTCCAGAGCATGGAGGCACTACCAGGAGACAGGCCAGTACATCAGGAGACGTGGAGGAGGCCCTAGGAGGGCAACAACCCAGCATCAGGACCGCTACCTCCGCCTTTGTACAAGGAGGGACAGGATGAGCACTGCCAGAGCCCTGCAAAATGGCCTCCAGCGGGCCACAAATGTGCATGTGGCTGCTCAAATGGACAGAAACAGACTCCATGAGGGTGGTATGAGGGCCTGATGTCCACAGGTGGGGGTTGTGCTTACAGCCCAACACCGTGCAGGACGTTTGGCATTTGCCAGAGAACACCAAGATTGGCAAATTTGGGACTGTTGCCCTGTGCTCTTTACAGATGAAAGCAGGTTCACACTGAGCACATGTGACAGACATGACCGGGTCTGGAGACACCATGGAGAATGTTCTGCTGCCTGCAACATCCTCCAGCATGACTGGTTTGGCAGTGGGTCAGTAATGGTGTGGGGTGGCATTTCTTTAGGGGGCCGCACAGCCCTCCATGTGCTTGCCAGAAGTAGCCTGACTGCCATTAGGTACCGAGATGAAATCCTCAGACCCCTTGTGAGACCATATGCTGGTGCGGTTGGCCCTGGGTTCCTCCTAATGCAAGACAATGCTAGACCTCATGTGGCTGGAGTGTGTCAGTAGTTCCTGCAAGATGAAGGCATTGATGCTAAGGACTGGCCCACCTGTTCCCCAGACCTGAATCCAATTGAGCACACCTGGGACATCATGTCTCACTCCATCCACCAATGCCACGTTGCACCACAGACTGTCCAGGAGTTGAGGGATGCTTTAGTCCAGGTGTGGGAGGAGGTCCTTCGGGAGACCATCCGCTACCTCATCAGGAGCATGCCCAGGTGTTGTAGGGAGATCATACAGGCACGTAGAGGCCACACACACTTTTGAGCCTCATTTTGACTTGTTTTAAGGACATTACATCAAAGTTGGATCAGCCTGTAGTGTTTTTTTCCACCTTAATTTTGAGTGTAACTCCAAATCCAGACCTCCATGGGTTGCTAAATTTGATTTCCATTGATAATTTTTGTGTGATTTTGTTGTCAGCACATTCAACTATGTAATGAACAAAGTATTTAATGAGAATATTTCATTCATTCAGATCTAGGATGTCGTATTTTTGTGTTCCCCCCTTTTTTTTGAGCAGTGTAATTCAGTTGAAACTATCCTTTGGTGTATTTGTTGTAATAGATATGGCTAGTTACATACTAATGTGTAAAAGTAAAAAGTAGAGGTTGTAATGTTGTTGTACTGTGCTAAAAAGAATCAGAATCAATGCCTTTTTCTTTCTTCCCTTGTACCTCATATTTTCGTTCCGCCTTTCTTTTTTCTTCCCTTAATTTCCTATTTTTATTTTTCGGTGTATTTTGTACATTGATAAACAATAAAAGTTATAAACACAGAGAAATCATCCTATGAACATGCTAATTTTTGTCTGGGACTAACTGTATGCAGATACATGCATTGTGTACTTGGATGAGTCAGGATTTTGAAGCCAAGTTTCGGTAAACTAACCCTCCATTGACCCATTAAGTCATATGGTTGCCATTAACTATCCACAGATGAATCAACAAAATTTTGGGGTGTTGTTCTTTGCCATGAGCTAGAAAAACATGGGGCTACCAAGCACATTTTTTTTGCATGTTTAAAATTATTTGAAAAACAATACAAACACAGCTAATCCTTGACTTACAACCATTTGTTTAGTGACCAATGTTGTAACAGCACTGAAAAAAGTGACTTAGAATTGGTCCTCACACTTGCCAAAATCAAAGCATTCCCATGAGCATTTGATCAAAATTTAAGCGCTTGGCAACCGATGTGTATTTACAATGATTGCAACATCCTGAGGTCATCTGATAGCCACTTGCAACCTTCCCAGCTGGTTTCTGATGAGCAAAGTCAATGGAGGAAGCTAGATTGGCTTAATGACTACATTGATTCACTTAGCAACCGTGGCAAATCCTTGGCTTAGTTTTTAGAATAGGAATAGGATAGAATAGAGGAAATGCAAAGTTGGAAGGGACCTTGGAGGTCTTCTAGTCTAACTCCCTGCTTAGGCAGAAATCCCTACACTTCAGACAAATGGTTGTCCAACCTCTTCTTAAAAACTTCCAGTGTTGGAGAATTCACAACTTCTGGAGGAAGTTATTCCACTGATTAACTGTTCTGTCAGAAAGTTTCTCCTTATTTCTAGGTTGCTTCTCTCCTTGATTAGTTTCCACCCATTGCTTCTTGTCCTATCCACAGGTGTTTTGGAGAATAGCTTGATTCCCTCTTCTTTGTGGCAGCTGCTGAGATATTGAAGCACTGCTATCATGTCACCCCTAGTCCTTCATTAGACTAGACATACCCAATTCCAGCAACTGTTCTTTCTATGTTTTAGTCTCAAGTCCCCTAATCATCTTTGTTGTTCATCCTAATCATCTTATGTATGTCACTTTCCCAGCAGGTTATTCGAAACATGGTCCAAAGCTGTCTCTGCATCTTCTATGGGTCTTTCCTGGAATCCATTGTGTTTCCCATCTTCCAGCCAGTAGATGCAGATCAAGCTGCGATGTGGGAATGGATTCTAATTGTAATAGACGAAGTGAATTGGTTCTTGAAAAACTTTCCCAATACTTGGATGAAGCTGGTGCAAATCAGGCACCTTCCAGGATGGATTCTGCCATGTCCGGTAATCATCTTGGGCATCAAATGGTTCTAGAGTATGTGTGTGTCTACACAGGTAGTCCTCAACTTACAACAGTTCATTTAGTGACCGTACAAAGTTACAATGGCACTGAAAAATCACTTTTTAAATGCCATTGTAACTCTGAATGGTCACTCAATAAACTGAAAAACTTATGACCATTTTCACATTTTTAACCATGGCAGCCTCCCCATGATCAACCTGAACAAAATTCAGATGCTTGGCAACTGACTCATATTTATGACGGTTGCAGCATCCCAGAGGTCATGTGATCTCCTTTTGTGACCTTCTGATAGGCAATTCAATGGCGGAAGCCAGATCCACTTAACAAGCGTGTCACTAACTGAACAACTGCAGTGATTCACTTAACAGCTGTGGCAAAAAAGGGTGTAAAATGGGACAAAATTCACTTAACAGGATTCTTGCTTAGCAACTGAAATTTTGGTCTCATTTATGGTCATAAGTAGAGGACTACATTTATATCCAGGTGGATTCTCAGATGAAGAAGGAAATGCTATCCAGATTGCACCCTTTAGGTGCCTGGACTTTAAAACTCAGAATTCTCAGCAAGTCCATAGATCTGGGATCGCAAAGGATGGGAAGACTGATCTGTAATGATTTTCTGCACATTTATTGTGCATGTTACAATATTTTCCTGGGAATACCTCAATAAGCTAATTCTATAATAGATGCATTTCTTTTAAGCTTCATGACTGAACAATACAACCTGAATGACATAAGGACATGCAGAAATTAAAGCAGGCAACAGAATGCTTAATTTCTGGATATCAGTCACTCTGTACTGCGAGAAGGGTAGCATATAAGTTTTATAAAGTAATGATCCCATTTTTAATAGAAAGAATGTAAATGTGCCAACTCTAGGATATCTTATTTTTCATTTAACATGTCCAAATGAAATGTCTTTTTGTCTTAACAGATAGAAAAGGCTCTCTCCTTTGCTGCAGGTAAGACCCTGCAATTCTCATTGCTGCATCAATGAGACACAGCACACAGATGTCTGGAAATGTAGTTGCTCTTACTCCATACATTTATTAATCAGACTTACGTGGCTCGTCCTGTACAAGCCCAGTTCCAATTGTGCTACATGATGGTTATCATTATATGCTAAGGAAATGACATGCAATGGACAAAGCTATTCTTTAGTTCTCCAACTACCAAAAAATGTGGGCGTGACTTAAATAGTGTGCGCAATATGATTAACTTGATTATTATCTCAACTCATTTTCTGGATTTATAATAGTCATGAATACACTGAACAGGCTGGGTTGCACAGCATGCTAAACTACCTAAAATAGCTAAGATTAAAATTAATCAAATTAGTATGGTGTCATATTGAATGTATTTATTCTTGTTGGGTTCCTTTGTTTATTTTATTATTCTATTATGTTACCTCTGTTCTGTTTCTTCCTTATCATAAGCCTGCCTACAATAGTCCCATGGGGAGATAGGCGGCAGATTTACAAATAAGTAAAAGAACTAACTATACAGTATCTGTTGTGACTCCGAGACTTGAACCTGATCAGTCAGCAGATGTGGGTTCGAGCGATGAAGAAGATCTGGCACTGAGATTCGAGCCTGCATTATTAAGTGACTTAGAGGGGAGTCAAGTAGAGGGAGAGGACTTGGATTTGAGAGATGAACCTGATTTATTGGAGGATTCAGAGTCCATTCCCTCCCCTGAAGCTACTTCCCTAGTTACACCTCAGGTGTTAACTGTTAATCAGGAAAGTGTATCAGAGGCTTCAAGCGGTGACGAAACTGCTGGATGCTGGCTGGATGCCAGAACTAGGAGAAGATTGAGACGTCAATCTCAATTAGAAAAGAGACGTCCAGCAAAGGATTAATTAATGAGACTGACACGCCCTCTCTTAGAGGATATAAGGGAGCGTACGAGTTTGTAATCTTTGCTGGAAACAAAGTGAATTTTGCCTTGGAAAGAATTGCGTCTGATTACTGCGTTGTGATTTACGAACTATACAGAATTGCCGGACAGATTCTAGGAGAATTGCCAAAGAACTGTGAAAACAGAGCAATTGAATCTTCTGTCTCTGGTTTTGTTTACGTAAAGTATTTGAACTCTGTAACTCGAAATTTTCATCTGTGGATACAGGTGGGACAGAACAAGTATCTATGGGGATTCTCAGTCAACCAGGTCAAGGTTGTCCTGAAGGTGCTTTTTCAAGAGACAACTGGACTTTCTGGTTTTCCTTTGAGTTGATGACGCTTCTTGGATGAGAAGTGAAACGTCTTCAAAAAAACAACAACCAGTTGCCTCTTGAAAAAGCACCTTTGAAACTATATAAAGTAAATTATAAATTATTAGCAAAATTATCCACTAGATGGCAGCATAGGCACACTAGTTTTTAGTTGATGGGAGAGGGGAAGGGATATCAGTGACTTGCTCTTACTTATGCTGACTTGTGCCCAACTGAAATGTCTGAGAAAGAAAGAAACATGCATAAATCAAGTTTGCCTACATAATTGGTAAAGTATTTGCAGATCCCCCTAATTAAAATAATAAAAAAATCTGAAACAAACCTTAGGAACACTGCTTGGTTAACAGCACCCTGAAGAATTCTGCAGATGATACCATAGGGTTCCAACCAAATATGGCTCTGTGGTCCATGGTTTGAAATGAATATGATTTGCTTAACAAGTTTGGATGTACAGGTGGTCCTTGACTTACAACCATCCATTTAGCGACCATGTGAAGTCACAGTGGTACTGAAAAAGTGGCTTACAATTGGTCCTCACATTTATGATCATCCTTCCTACAATCACTGATAAAAATTGAGGTGCTTGGCAATTGGCAAACTGGAAGTAAGAAGAAATTTCCTGAAAATTAGAACAATTAATCAGTAGAACAACTTGCCTCTGAAAGTTGTTGGTACTCTAACATTGGAGGTTTTTAAGAGATTGGACAACTATTTGGTATAGGGTTTCCTGCCTGAGAAGGGGGTTGGACTAGAAGACCTCCCAGGTCCCTTCCAACTCTACTATTCTGTTCTGTCCTATGCTGTCTTGTCCTGTTCTCTTCTCTCCATTCCTCTCATCTCCCCATCTCCTTTCCTCAGCTCTCCTCCCCTCCCCTCCCATGCCATGCCATGCCGTCCCATCCCATCCTATCCTCTTTCTTATTCTGTCCTGTCCTATCCTATTCTATCCTTTCTTGTCCTGTCTTATTTTCTTTTCTCCTCTCCTCTCCCCTTCTCCTCCCTCCCCTTCTCCCCTCCCCGTCCATGCCATCCTATCCTTTCTTATCATATCCTATCTCCTTTCTTGTTCTGCTCTGTTCTGTTCTATTCTATTCCCATTCCAATTCCCATTTCCATTATTTCCATTCCATATGGTGGTTGCAGAATTCTGGAGACACCTGATTGTCATTTGTGACCTTCACAGCCAGTTTCAGACAAAAGAAATAAATGGGGAAAGCCAGATTTGTTCAATGACTGTGCCATTCGCTTAACTTCAGTGATACATGTAACCAGGGCAAAAAAAAAAAAAAATCAAAAATTGTGCAGGATTCACTTAATAGCTGCTTTGCTTAACCACAAAAATCCTGGTCCCAATTGTGATTGTAAGTTGAAGACTACCTGTACGTAGCCAACGGAAGTGAACTTGATAGCATAATTAAACAGTCACAACGTAGCTTTAGATTTGAAGATGGGATTGAGAAGATACACTTTTAGCTTATAGTTGGCCACAGATAGGGGAATTAATCCAGACTGGGTTTATTCTCTACAACGCCTTTAACCTTAAACTAACCTCTACTGACCTCACCCCCTTCCTAAGAGGTCTGTAAGGGGTGTGCATAAGTGCACAATCGTGCCTACCGTACCTGTCCTATTGTCCCTATTTATTCATACTTATTTCCTGTATTCTTACTCATGTTTATACTTATTCCTATTATCTTGTACGTGATTGACAAATCAAATCAAATAAATAATAATAATAATAATAATAAACTAAACTTCAGTTTTTCCTCCTTCCCTGATTCTTTGTAAAAGGTATTTTCTCTTTAAGTATTTCAATAAGGGGGCAGGGAAATTGAGAAGAAAATCAGATCATGGTAGCATCCTGGCCTAATCTTCATGACCTCCATCTTTCTTTCAGAGCCGGTGGGTTTATGTCGTACGGAAGAACCACTTTTCCTCTGGTACCTGGAAGAAAACTCAAGTGCCTTCAGTGAATTTCAAGTACAATTGAAGAAGGCTGGTTACGACTTCCAGATAGACTTGGATAGGAAACTGTTGGTATTCCAGGCCATCGATCAGTCTGTGCAGATGCTTGGCTTAGAAAAATCCTTTGAGTTTGTGCGGAAGAAGTATGTGCTACATCATGAGTCAAGAACAGAGATTCTAAAAGTCTTGTTTGACCACCTAAAACTTATAAAGAGATTTGAATCCCTCAGGATCTGCATCCTTGATCAAATATGGCTTGTAGGCCTGTCAGATGAGATCAATTGCTTCTTGCAATATCTCGCCCACGAGGCCTTTCAAAGGGAACTGGTGAACTGGGAGTGCACAGCTGAACCAGTACTCTGGTATACTATTGCCAAAGATGTTGTACTTCAGGAGTTTTTCCAATCCAATCCTATGATAAAGCTTGAAATTATTGCTAAGACTCCAGCAACTATCAGATTCGGGGGACCCCGTAAGACAGTCAAGGAAGTAGAGAAGCGTCTCAAGGAGCTCTTGAATAGCTTCCAGGTTCTACCAGTCCCTTTCTCCGATTTTCAGTTGCAGTTTGTCAGGGCACATTGGGGCAAAGTGTTCTACAAGCACTTCTTCCTAGAGAACAGCATCCCAGTTGTTTTGGAGCTCTCTCAGGTTGTCCAGATTGTTGGCCTAGACTTGGGCAAAATGAAAGAAGCTGAAGAGATCCTCGTGAACCTAGTGTGTGAAAGGGCTATGGTGATTGCAGAGGATTTGAAGTGGGCTACTGAGGTTTCAGAATGGAAGTTGCTGCTACTTAAGCTGGGAACTCATAAGGAAGTAGCCATTCATCACGTGGAACCTGGTTGGGTGATCCTGGTGGGTTTCTGTCCTAAGGTCATTCAAGTAGAAGAATCTATTAAGAAATATTTGAAAGAAAATTCTCCAGTGGAAGAAAAAGTGGAGCTTGCTAGACCAGAATTAGCTTTAGCTGGGAACGGTCTGCTTCATATTATGGGCTGGGAACATCTCAGGATGAATGTTGCACTCCAGGTGAAAAGTCAGCCTTCAGTGCTGCAGGTGAGAGGTCTTCAAAAATATGTGAAAAAAGCCATGCCGGCCATCAAGAGGGACTTGGATTCTTTGATGCTTGATACAATACCTCTAAGGAAGAGAATTCTTCGAGAATACATCTTTGGAATTGGAGCAAGTCTGCTCAAAAACATGGCTTGGCAGTTGGGTTGCATTGCTTGGATGAAGACTGAAGAGTCCGATGATTGGAAGAACATCATGAATGAGGACTCCATGGAAGAAGTAAGTATAATCTATTTTTTTATAGTTTCTATTTGCTTTTTTAAAAAAGTTTCATCCATGCTTATACATAAGTATGAATGCAAATTATATGTTTAGAGCTAATCTTGATGAGGTTTTTTTTTTGTGACATGGTGAGGAAGATTAACAGAGTTGGAAGGTCCTTGTAGGTCATCTAGTCCAACCTCCCCACCCAAGCAGGAGACCTGACACCATTTCTGACAGATGGCAGTCCAGTCTCCTTTTAAAAGCCTTCAGTGATGAAGCTCCCACAACTTTTCAAGGCAAGGTGTTCCATTGGTGGATTGTTCTCACTGTCAGAAAATTTCTCCTTATTTCCAGGTTGAATCTCTCCTTGTTCAGTTTCTATCCATTATTCCTTGTCTGGCCTTGAGGTGCTTTGCAGAATAGCTTGACCCCTTCCTCTCTGTGGCAGCCCCTCAAATATTGGAACACTGTTATCATATCTCCCCTGGTCCTTCTCTTCACTAGACTAGCCATGTTCAGTTCCTTATATGTTTTAGTCTCCAGTCCCCTAATCATCCTGGTTGTTCTTCTCTGCACTCTTTCTAGAGTCCCAACATCTTTTTTATAGTTTGGTGACCAGAGGTGCTATTCGACCGGTTCGCGCCTATTCGGGTGAACTGGTAGCGGTTATTTGGCATGGGTCGCCGAACCGGTGGCAATCCCTGGCTGGCCACGCCCCCAACCTGGTCACCCGGTTGCTCACTTGCGATCGCTCTCCTAGCTTTCCGTTCCACACGTCCTCTTTCTCCCCGGGGAAAAGGAAGAAAGGCATGGACGCTGCAAGTATCGCTTTCCCCGTGTGAATTAAAGTGCCTGAAGTGAGAAAGAGTGCGGTCTGACAGAGGGGGTGGGGGTGAATCGAGCCTTGGAGCACTTTTGCAATGTAAAAGAAATGCATTTTGGAAGCAGGTCTTTTAAAAACTTCTCCAAGGATTCCCCATGGATGCTGCAAGTATGGCTTTCTCCTTGTGAGTTAAAGAGCTGGAGTGAGAAGGAGTGCGGTCTGACAGAGGGGGTGGGGGAATCCACTCAAGCCTTGGAGAAATTTAAAGGAGCTGCTTCCAAAATGCTTGTCTGTTAAGTGCTCTCTGTGTGTGTGTGTGTGTATGAGAAAGAAAGAAAGAAACGAAAGAAAGAAAGAAAGAGAGAGAGAGAGAAAGAAAGAAAGAAAGAAAGAAATAGGAAGAGAGAGAGAGATAAAACTCTGTGCTATTATTTTTAATTGTTCCATTATTTATCATGTGTCAATATTTTACACTGTCCCTACACCTAGAGTGATTTTTCTGCCTTTCTTTTGCCCAGGGCTACCACATATTTTTCAGGGTTTACATGCATTCAATGTCAATAGTCCAGAGTATAAAATACACATGTGTTTAACAAGAGTTGAAAGGGACCTTGGAGGTCTTCTAGTCCAACCCCCAGCTCTGGCAAGAAAACTGAGGATGCCAAACTCTGAGTAGAAATCCTGGGAAAGGTGTCAGAATAATACTTAGAAGGTGGTGAATCCTATACCATTTCAGAGAAATGGCTGTCCAGTCTTTTCTCAAAAACTTCCAGTGATTGAGCACCCAGAACTTCTGGAGACAGGCAGTTCCACTGGTTAATTGTTCTCACTGTCAAGAAGTTTCTCCTTAGTTTTAGGTTGCTTCTTTCTGTTCAGTTTCCATCCATTGCTTCTTGTTTGCCTTCTGCTTCTCTGGAAAATACATTGTCCCCCTTTCTTTGTGGCAGCCCCTTAAAAGCCTGTTGCCTATCACACTCTTGAGTAAAGCATGTGAGCCATTTCCTCCTTTCAGTGGTCCATGAAAGTACATCTATAGTATGCAGATAATAAAGTCAAAAAAGGTGAACAACATTTTTACAGAACTATAGATAAGTTGAGGCTGGGTGACAAGGAATGGCTGGGAGAGGAGGGGCCAGGTGAGGCACCCCTTGATGTGAGTGACATTGAGTTGGCCATGCCCACCCAGTCACATGACCACCAAGCCATGTCCACCCAGTCACATGACCACCAAGCATGCCCACCCAGTCACATGACCACTAAGCCATGCCCACCAAATAAGCCATGCCCACAGAAACGGTAGTAAAAAAAATTGAATTCCACCACTGTTGGTGACAAAAACTGGATGCAATATTCTAGGTATGGTCTTACTAAGGCTTTATAGAGTGGTATTAGTACCTCACTTGATCTTGATTGTATCCCTCTGTTAATGCAACTTAGGACTGCATTGGCTTTTTTGGCTGCCGCTGCACACTGTTGGCTCATATTTAGCTGGTTGTCCGCTAAGACTTCAAGATCCCTCTCACAGTTATTGCTATTAAGCCTAGTTTCACCCAGTTTATGTGTTCTTTTGGTTTTTCTTGCCTAAGTGTAAGACTTTACTTTTCTCTACATTGAATTTTATTATGTTAGGTAGGGCCCAGTGTTCTAGTCCGTCAAGATCCATCTGGATCTTGAGCCTATCTTCTTGGGTGTTAGCTATTCTTACCAGCTTAGTATCATCTGCAAATTTGGTAAGTTCCTCTTCTATTCCCTCATCTAGGGGTAACATGATAATAGTATTCCAGTATTTGAGGGGCTGTCACAGAGAAGAGGGGGTCAACTTATTTTCCAAAGCAGCAGAAGGCAAGACAAGAAACATTGGATGGTAACTAATCGAGGAGAATATCAACCTGAAATTAAGAAGAAACTTTCTATCAGTGAGGACAATTAACCAGTGCTTGCCTTCAAAAGTTGTGAGTGCTTCATCACTGGATGTTTTTAAGAAAAAACTGGATAGCCACCTGTCTGAAATGATATAGAGTTTCCTGCTTGAGCAGAGGGTTGGACTAAAAGACCTCCAAGGTCCCTTTCAAGTTCCAACTTTATTCTAACTGATTAATAATTTCCACTTTTAGATGGGAGGAGGTCTTCCATGCTTTCAGTTCTAAAATAAGTGTAAAAGATAAAAATCCATATTGTTGACTCGCCCTTCTGCATTCAGCTTTATTAGAAAGTTACCACATTTTATTAAGTTATAAGATATTGTAAAATATAAAATGCAAAAGTAAATAAAAGGACATTGAAAGGGGAAGAGGAAAGGAAGAAGAAAAGTGAGGAAGGATAGAGAAAGAAAAAGAAAAGGCATTGACTTCCAACCCTCTCTCTTACAGTAGAATAAGGCATTAAACAGATTACAGCCTTTTGCTTTTCCATAATAGTATGAACAAGTCATTTCTATAAGGATTTATCAATCAAATCTGTAAAATCTAAAATCAAAGTTTCATTCTTTTCCACATCAAGTACGAAATTCAGAAGTGGTTTCCATGTGGAAACAAAGGTACTTATGTCCTTTTCTTTGATCAAGGTAGTCAGTTTTGTCATTTCGGCCAACTCCATCAAGTTTATTAGAAAGACCAAGATGGAAAATTATCTGTCAACCTTGGAAGCCATTTTTCTTTTTTCTTTGAAAAGTTTTTTATTTTATAACAAAAACAAAGACAAACAAATAAAACCACCTTTCCATTCAATGGTGTGTCGATTGGGTACATATCTCTTGTGCTCATAATAATATTACCATACATTTCTTACTTGTTTATATTTATAACTATTCTAATCAATATTTTATATCACATTTATCAATTGTTGTATTATTGTTAACATTATAGTTATTGTCATTCAAAAATATATTTCATCTTTATTTAAATTATATTCATTTTCTTAATCTAATTCAATCGGTTATAATACGATATACTATTATTACATACTTCAATTTCTTACTCTTCTGTCCAGCCATTCATAAAATAGATTCCAAATTTTATAATAATCTTTTTCTTCCTGTTCTCTAATTGCCATTGTCAATCTACTCATTTATTTTCTTAATTATTTCCTCTTCTGTCGGAATTTTCTCATTTTTCGAATTTTGTGCAAATACAATTCCTTGGAAGCCATTTTTTTGGTCGGAGTTTCAAGGCTGCCGCATTTAGTGCTTGAGAAATTGGGAGGGGGGATTGCATGGAGCATTGGAAACTTAGCCACAACAACATTCCTTTCTCTGGGAGTCAAGGACAATTTCCCTGCATCTGGATAGGAGTGACTGTGGGTTGTCTCCAGTTAGGATGACGATATGATTGGGCCATGTGATGGACTTGTCAGCTATAAATTTAAAATGCAGATTTCACACTGACTTACATGATCGATCATATCAAAAACTATTGTCTCCCTAACATCCCAATTGTTTTTTTTTATTTTTAGAGATGTGCTATGGGCTTCTCAGAGGCAATATATGTAATAGGCAAATGGAATTCGATGAACTTGTTGAAGCATATTGTAGCTGGTCTGTTTGCACAGTTCTGTACAAAATCCATCTATCATGAAGCAATTACCACTTTTAAAAATATGAACATTGATGAGTTCCTGAGGAATATATCCCACAGGCTTCCTGTAGATATCCGTTGGTTGCAGGATAATGAAATCCAGATTTGTGGTTTCCAAAAAGATGTGGAGAATGTTCTGAAAGCTGTTCATGGAAAGATTGAGGAATATCAGTCTGAAATAATTGAAGTCCAAGCTCAATATGAGTTAGTCCCTTACACAGTTATAAGCTTGTTCCAAAGGTTATTTCCAACAAACCCTTTGGTAAGCGTAGTAGTCTTGGCCAATGATTTAGTAACCATCATATTTACAGGTCCCCGTCAAAAGTTGGTAAAAGTGAAGGAGTACTTTGAGGAATTCCTTAGAAGTTTCCAATTTTTACCAGTTTCTCTTTCCGAACTCCAGCTTCAGTTTGTCAAGGCACAATGGGGTAAACTCTTTCAT